ACAGGTAATAAAGCCAAGTATTCTAAGAATAATGGCAAATAGTCAGGCAGTTCCTCGGTGGCAATAACAAGACCCTTTTCGCGATATAACTCCGCCAAATCGACAAGCGCTTGCCCCCGTTCGCGAGACTCCCCATACACATGCTCAAACAAGTGTAATGACAACGATGGTGTACGATCAAACAAATCGACATACGCCTCTTGTAATGTCATGAGAGGTTGCTGTTCGAATTGCTCTATTACCTTCTTGAGTGATTTTACGGTGGACTTAGGTAACCACCCTTCTTGTTCCAAAATGGCAGCACACTCAGGTAACGCTGTCAATAAAGGCTGTGTTGGGTACGTGAGCAATAATCCTAGTATTTTTAAGGTGTTCATCATATTAGGACTCATTTTTGCGATTAAATAAAGTCGTAACCCGGTTGTCTGGCTTAGAAGCTGATCTACCGCGCCAAGTGATAGGCTGTTCGAATAGATCTGTTTTGCTATTGCTATGGCTTGCACAACCATTGCCGAAAGAAAAGCCGCAAGCGCCTGTTTCTCCGTAAGCATCAATCGATTCTTCACGATGTCCCGTTGGAATGACAAAACGATCTTCGTAATTGGCAATGGCCATGATGTTGTACATGTCTTGGACTTGCTCGGTGCTTAGATTAACTTCTTGAAGAGATTGCTCATCTGCTTGTCCTAAGATCAGTTTACTGCGCATATAACGACGCATAGCCAACATGCGTTTTAAACCAAGACGTACAGGAGCTTCTTTGCCACCCGTTAGCAAATTGGCTAAATATTTCACAGGAATACGCATGTCATCTATGTCGGGGATAATGCCATCTTTAGAAGGAATTTTGCCAGCTTGAGCTGCTGCTTGTAGAGGGGAAAGCGGTGGAATATACCAAACCATAGGTAAGGTGCGATATTCTGGATGCAAAGGGAAAGCAACTTTCCAATCAATCGCCATTTTGTAGACAGGAGATTGTTTGGCAGCTTCCAGCCAATTATCAGCAATACCATCAGCTTTTGCTTGAGCGATGACTTTGGGGTCGTGCGGGTTCAAAAAGACTTTAAGCTGTGCTTCGTAGAGCTCTTGTTCGTCGGTTACGCCAGCTGCTGTGCTGATTTGGTCTGCATCATACAGAACAACACCCAAATAACGGATACGTCCTACACAGGTTTCAGAACAAACAGTAGGCTCACCGTTTTCAAGACGTGGGTAGCACAAAGTACATTTTTCAGCTTTGCCTGATTGCCAGTTATAATAGATTTTTTTGTATGGGCAACCTGACATACACATACGCCAACCGCGGCATTTATCTTGGTCAACTAAAACAACGCCATCCTCTTCGCGTTTATAGATTGAACCTGA